TTTACAAAAAGACGAAACCATGGGATTCAAGGGGATTCAAAAAATATGTTGTAAAGCAAAGTGAGAGCTTCATGTTTATTTAATCATTTTCAATATTCATAGAAAAGATAAGTCAGGCGAGCCTTCCAAAAAAGTATTGTGAAATAATATAAAAAAATTTTTCATCAATTGTGTAACGATTTTGTGACGTATCAACGTTTCCTCCTGTTGATTTACATAATACTATTGGAAAAAATTTTTGATACAAGATACATTATTTCCAATTTTTATACAAATACTCAACTATAATAATTTATAATTTAAAAATTGTTAATAAATAGGTTTTGAATCAATTATAGTTCAAAATTTTCTGTTTAGTTCGATTTAAAATTTACTATATTTAAAATTTATTAAATTATTATAAAGTTTAATATAATAATTTTAAAATGTTTTATGTAAAGATAATTTAGACATTTTGACACTATTTAGACATTTTGACACTATTTCGACACTATTTAGGCATTTCGACACTATTTAGACATGACATCAATTTAGAATTTCGACATGCTAAATGTCGAAAGTCGAGATATTTCTACATAGCTTAAAACAATTTCGACTAACAACACTAGTCTAAACCTACCTTGGGAAGGCTAAATAAAAGTACCAGTAGGGCAATTTTGCATATATAACTATTTAAAACCTGCCCTAACCTTAATCTAAGATATCCCAAACTCTTAAGTTAATTTAATAAATATATATTGCCGGGGATTAAGCTGAAATCGGATGATGCTGAAATTTTGACCTATTTTATTATGAAATTTTAAAAAATTTTCGGGCCTTTTCGTTAGGAGGGTTTTTTTTAGGGGTACGTTAGGGTTTAGTGTTAGTGTTGTTAGTAAAAAAGTATATGCAAATTTTAGTAGGTATTATAGATTTAAATGGGACTCTAAATTTCAGCATCATTCCCGACATATATTATAAGAATCTACTGCGCTTTAGATGTCCCTTATTTTGATTGGCACTATGGCTAGGGTAATATTGTACAAATGTATATTTATTTGTCACTCGTTTATATGTTTGATTAAAAAAATTAAGAATTTTATCAGTAATTAATCGACTATAGCCGGCTACTAGTCGATAGTCGATAATAGCTGATCGATAGTCGCCGTAGCTGACCGAACCCATCCCTAATTGTTATGATCATTGGGTTAACTGTTCTTCAAACTACCAAAATTTCAATAAGTTTTTAATTAGTTCTTTTTTTTTTTTTTTTTGAAAAAAAGTCATTTGCAAGGTGTCATAAGCCTTTATTTCCAATTAAAATTTTATAATTGCGGTACTACATGATTTAATAATACCATACAAATTTGGAACTTCAAAAGATAGATTTAAGATTCCTTTAAGTTATAAAGTTGGGAATGAAACAAATCCTATCGTTAAAGTGAAAATGCAAGAAATATTCTTACAGATATACAGTCAGACCCCCCTAAATGCTACCCCCCTAAATGCAACACCTCTTTAAATGCACGTCTTCTTTTGGGCCCAACTAATATTATATCTATAGATTTTTACCTCCCTAAATGCAATACCTCTCTAAATGCACGTGCTAGAGCTGGTCCCGACGACGTGCATTTAGGGAGGTCTGACTGTATATATTCTAATAGATATAGATATTCTAATTTGATGTGTTGAAGCCAGTGTTGGCCGATGACCTAAGCCATAGCATTTTTTCGATATCGATATGATCTTGGTCATAATCATATGACCTTTGAGCCATAAGTCATATCGGTCATATCAAATATTAGTAAAAAAATTTTATTATGATTCTTACTATATTAAAAGGTCATTCGTTATGACCAACTAGGTCATTTAAGGTCATCGCCAACACTGGTTGAAGCAGTGTCATTTCGTAGTAATATATGCAAAAACAGAGAACATTTATAGAAAAAATAAATAATATAATGATAATGCAATGTTGCTATCTATTAAATTACATATTTATTATTACTTAAATTTATATTGCTTACAATTTTTAAAATTCTATTTCTACAGAATTCAGAATCCACTCTAACATATATAATTGAAAGGGGCAAATTTAATTATGACCAAAATTATATCCAAGCTTAATATAATAAACTGCAAATGAACAAAGCAACAAATCCAATGATCATTTCAAAACTGTCAACACGAACGCTTGAAGCAGCTGATGCTGGCTTGGCACTAGTAGTGGATGATGGAGCAGTTGATGAACCAGATGCACCGCTTTTTTTTTTTTTTTTAAAAAAAAAAAGATATTGTCAATTATTGCAAATAACTAACAAATAGCTTAAAAATACTTACGACGAAGAGGTCCCAGAATTACTCTTAGGGGCACTGCTAGGTGCGGCACCACTAGGCCCAGCAGCAGGTACACCACTAGGGCCAGCAGGTGCACCACTAGGGCCAGCAGGAGCAACACTATCAGTAGGAGTGGGTGCACTAGTAAGAGGAGGAGCTCCAGCGGGAGCGGCAGCGGTCCTATGAGATTATAGAAGAAGAGTGAAACATATTTAGAGAAAAAAATCGAGTTTCATAGTTACAAACTTTAAACACTTACTCTTGCGCTGTTGATGGCTCTGCTGTTGATGCTGTATCTTGGGCAAGAACTCCATAGGCGATAAGAATACATAAGAAGAAAATAATCGTACTTTTAGTGATATTCATTGTATTACAGTAGGAGTGTGAATACTTTTTTTGGTTTTATTTTTTTTTAGGGTTTTTTTTATCAATAACGTCAATTAATTTTTATAACTTTCTTAGTATTTTGAATTAAAGGAACGAGAGCCCATATTTATAAGAAATCATGAGCATAGGCATGTTATTTTAGTTAAGGATGCATTTATCCATAAGGTTGCTCCATTTAATTAATGTTTATTCAATATCTTTTATTGTTGCACTTGTTTCATTACTGTTGGTGTTGATGCTTGGGAAAGAACACCAGAGGCGATAAGAATACACAAAATAATCATAATTTTAGTTTCATTTTGTATTAGGGGAATACTTTTTTTGGTTTGTTTTTTTTTAATTTACAGTAATGTATTTTATTGTTACACTAATAAAATATAATGGCTCTCAGAGAGTTAATTATCCGGGTCAGATTGACCTGGGTTAACAGGCCATAAGGAAAATCATAAAAATTATAAACTTAACACTTACATAGATTTGATATAGCGACTCTTATCTAGAGCTACCACTTGGGTCAATAGTTGTACATGTTACTCTTGAGAGTTTAGAGTTTATAGAATTTTACTGTATATTTTTGTTGTGCCTATTGTATTATAGCTGATCTTGAAATCCAAAAACCCATTGGCTGATATCACCCTAACCCTTTTCACGATCATCCGACATTTATGAGTTTAAATTTTTTTCTAGGTGATGCAAAACAAGTGGGCGTCATTGTGAAACTAATAAAGCAATTTAATAAATTTTGAATTGTCTTTTTGCATACTTACTGTACGTTGAGCCTTGTAAGCAGAGCAAAATTAATATGGCAAATTTAGCATAATTTAAACGGTAATTACAGATTTCGTACGTACATACGTACGTACGTAAGTGCATATCAGGCACGTTCACAATCGTCGGTTTAACATTTATCCATCTCGATATTGGTTTTTATAAGCTTTGTTTTATACTATGAGAAGGCCTTTATTACAATTTAGGCCGCTCACCAGAGAAAATTCATTTTAGAACAGTTGCACTCATTCGATAATGATAACTGTAGTGTAATGATCTTCAGTCATAGAATTAATGTTTTTTCCTAGTTACACATACTTTGGAGCTCCTTAAAAGCTTTAATGTGCGATTTTTAAATTTTGATATTAAACGACTAAAATTGTAAATTATTTGCATTATTTTATATTTACATTGTAAATGCAATCCCCTAATTACAACATCTCTCTAAATGCAACCTCCCTAAATACAACAACTCTCTAAATACAACCTCCCTAAATATAAATGCAACCTCCCTAAATACAGCCCCAAATTTCTGCCCAAATATATCTCCAATCTCCATAAGTGCAATTTTTCTTATTGTTCTCTAAATGCATGTTATTATAGGTTGGTCCTAACGAGTTGCATTTATGGAGGTCTGATTGTAATATAATTTAAATTAAAGTGTATATTGCTTATCGTTATCATTCCATTTAAATGAAATCACCCTCGTTATAGTGAAGTAATCGGGTCCATTTAAAAATCCACTAATTGAGAGTTTTATTAATAAATTCATTGATAAATTATACTTTTTTTTTTTTGGAAATTTTTCTTTACGTGTCTACATTGTAGTTGGGTCGACATTTTCTTGAGAAATTTCACGCTTTTTTCGTTGGATTGATGCTGGTTGTACTCGAATTTTTGCTCCACGTCATATTGATTCAGTTTTTACGGTAGAATTTCGTTGGTAGAGATAAGTAGCCGGTTTGCCCGATGATAAAGATTCAGCTTTTTCATGTTCTTTCTTAGCCGCATAGTGATATTCGACATTTCTTGAAATTCGCTTAGCCAATTAAGCACCTCTTAGCTGTTAAGATCCACGTATAAATCCACATTAAGCAGGCCAATATTTATTTTTTTCAGACTTTAAGTAAAATGAAGCGAAATATAAAGTAAAGTATGAAGCGAAATATGAAACGAAATATGAAGTGAAATATGAAGCGAAATATAAACGAAATATGAGGGTAGCTTATTTAATTAATTTAATCGATGATATCATTAATGATAGTTTGGATTGATTTCCGGACAATCACGGAGCAGAAACTGGTACACATTTTCGATTTGCATAAAAATCACAGGACAGCGCCATCATCATTCTAAAAGCTCATATTAAATTAGGAGTTAATAAATTTGTAACCGCGGTTACTGTAACCGCATCCAATAAAGCCAATTAAATTTTAAGATCAGGTGTAACG